TAATAAATTGGCTCAGTTTTTAATGCTTTTTTCCAATATTTCCTTTAAACGAATTTTGAAATTGAGGAGGTGGAAAGTATGTCAGAAAAACGCGGTTTTCTCACGGACTGTCTCTTAATCATTTTAAAAATCAGAAAAGAATCCATTAATTGATGAGTATCTTACGATAAAAAATTTCGTCCGTTTAGATGTATTTATAATCTATACCATTGGCAAGGGCAACTTTTGGAAGAGTCATATTTCAAAGAAAAACACATGTCATTATTCCACATCTAATTCAAATTCAATACAACCCATGTGACCACCATCATTTGTTAATATATCAGCTCTTAACGAATAATCACCCAAGAAATACCAATCAGGTTTGTCTTGTATTGGAATAATGATATTTGGAACAGTGTAGGTATTCTGTGGAGAGAGCAAAGAAAAAGCTTATCAGCTTAACGGGTATGACGATAAAGTTTCTAGACAAAATGCTTCCACAACTTTCATCTTCTGAAAACTATTGTATAAGAGCCAAGGGTAAGCTACAATCTTGTGGTATGTGCCAAAAAGCACTTTCATTACTTTCAAAACAGTCCAAATGTGCAGAAAATGTGTTTGCTCTATCTATCTAAAGTGAAAATAGTTCTTAACATATTGAACTTATATGCATTATTTCAACAAATTGGAAATATACGGAAAAACGAGCGGGTTTTGAGTGCTATTTGCTGAATTTCGCCATCAAAACAAAATTTTATGTCAAAATAAATGAGATATTTGGAATCTATGTAAACGATGAAGTCGAATGATGTACCTTAAAGGATTTTCTGTTAATTTCGATTTTCGACCGAAAAATTCGCCCTTACTACACCCCAGGAATATCGAAAAATAGTTTCTGCGTATAATTTCTGCGTTTCGGACTTTGATTTGCGTTTTATATTGCTGAAATCACTAGTTATATCAAAAAAGTAAGAAATGAAAAATTCTGTTTTCCGATATTCCTGGGGTGTACTAAGGGCGAATTTTTCGGTCGAAAATCGAAATTAACAGCAATCTCTTAAGATATGTCATTCGACTCCATTTTTCACGTAGATTCCAAATATTCCATTTATTTTGACATAAAATTTTGTTTTGATGGCAAAATTCAGAGCACTCAGAATCAGCTCATTTTTCGGTATATTTCCAATTTGACCATGAAATATACGTTTCTTCTCGGTTTAAAGGAAATATTGGAAAAAAGCATTAAAAACTGAGCCAATTTATTAATATTAGACATTGGTCGGAGACTAGATAAAGGTGCGGTAAATTCCACAACAAAGCATAATAGCAGTTTCCTTTCGTTTTATACTGTTTTTGTTGAAATAATGCATATAAGTTCAATATGTTAAGAACCATTTTCACTTTAGATAGATAGAGCAAACACATTTCTGCACATTTAGGACTGCTTTGAAAGAAATGAAAATACTTTTTGGTAGGATGAAATTTGAAAATTCACTGCAAGCGGCCTCTCAGTAGTAAAATGTGATTTTCTCCGCAAAAACGCCATCTTTTTCAATTTCAAACGTGATAATCGTGATCAACGTTAGAAACTGCATCTAGTCCACGTGGTTTTATGGAAATGTGACAAAAAAGTTTTTCGAAAATCTTGGGGAAGGGGGTTACTCCAAGCTTCAAAAAAACTCATATTGAAATTTCGTGAAACTAAGCGGTGGAATATGTTTCAGACATCGCTCTGACACATTTTGTATCGAAAAAAGTCGAATCCATTGTGGGCAAAAAGCGGTCTTAGTGTCACTAATCCTTTAGTTTGAATCACTGAAAAAATGAAGGGTACAGCTTTCGTGTACTATGTGCAGAAAAATTTATAAGTACGTAGGATCGTAGAGCAAACAATTCTGAATCGTAAGAGATGTTTAAATGAGTACAGGAAAAGGGTGAGAAGTTATGAGAGTTTTCCTGAAAGCTACGTTCTAGATATAACGTGATTTTAACAAAACAACACAAAACTTAGCTCAAAATAAAGTGTAAATTTTGGCTGTTTTTTCCAACTCAAAAAATAAACTAAGACAGTGTATTTTGTAGAGGAGATTTTACTCTACAAATAGGTACAAAAAAATCAATATTATCTCATAATTTGAAGCTGCTTGGATTAAAATAAAAAAGTTCTCAAAATTTTTTCCCGTCAAAACTTAATGTTTGTACGTTTTAAAGATCCATTTACTGTTCTGCATCACAAAGTCATAGAAAATATTGTTAGCCCGCACAAACTTTATTCGTAAGAATAAAATCACAAAACGTTAAAACCAAAAACTCCCTCTCTGTACAAACAAACACTGTATATATATATTAAGAAAGAATGTTGACTCAACCAGAACTGAGTCAACATTCTTCGTGGTCATGAGAGATGAAAACAGATGAAGAAAGAATGTTGACTCAGTCAACATTCTTTGTTGTCATCAGAACAGAAAAGAGGAAGAGG